CTTTGAACACAAGGTCAAATTCACTTAGTTCCACTGTCCATTTCAACAATCTTCCCGAGGCATCGGGCTTCTGGAGTACTTGCCTCAGGGGAAAATTTGTAAGTACATGGATGGTATGAGCTTGGAAGTAAGGTCTCAATTTCCTAGAGGCCGTGATTAAGGCCAAAGCAAGCTTCTCCATATCGGGGTATCGGGTCTCCGGCGATAGGAGCGCTTTACTCGTGTAGTAGACGGGGAGTTGGGTGGACCCTTCTTCTCGAATCAAAACCGAACTGATGGCGTCATTGGAGACCGCAAGATATAGTTGCAAGATATCGCTGGGCTTCGGCTTGGAGAGGAGGGGGGCCTGCCCCAAGTGCCTTTTTAATCCTTGGAAGGCCTCTTCGCATTCCTCAGTCCATTGGAATTTCTTCCCAGCCTTGAGCACCTTGAAAAATGGGAGGCACTTGTCAGTCGCTTTGGAGACGAAGCGACTAAGTGCTGCCACTCGCCCAGTTAAGCTTTGCACCTCCTTTGGCTTTTGAGGGGACCTCATCTGGCACAGAGCCTCAATCTTCTCGGGATTTGCTTCGATTCCTCGCTGGTTAACCATGTACCTCAAGAACTTGCCGGAAGCCACCCCGAAGGCACATTTCAAGGGGTTGAGCCTCATCCTATACCTTCTCAAGATTTGGAAGGTGCTGTTGAGGTGCGCTACGTGGCTTTCTGCCTCTAAGCTTTTCACCAGCATGTCATCTACGTAGACCTCCATTGTCTTGCCAATGAGGTCGGTAAACATTTTGTTCACGAGTCTTTGGTAAGTTGCTCCGGCGTTCTTCAACCCGAAAGGCATCATTCTATAGCAATAGAGGCCTCGATCCGTGATGAAAGAGGTGTGCTCCTCATCGGCCGGGTGCATGGGGATCTGGTTGTACCCGGAGTATGCATCCATGAAGCTCAATAACTCGTGCCCAGCCGTGGAGTCCACCAATTGGTCAATCCTTGGAAGCGGAAAGCTATCTTTCGGGCAAGCTCTATTAAGGTTGGTGAAGTCAATGCATACTCGCCATTTGCCATTGTGTTTCTTAACCAAGACCGGGTTGGAGACCCACTTCGGGTAGGTGGCCTCCCTGATGAAGCCATTTTGGATCAGCTTCTGAACCTCTTCCTTCAGGGCCTCATACCTCTCTGGGTTGAGGGCTCTCCTTTTTTGCCTGTGCGGGGCAAAATTAGGATCAATTTTCAAATGATGACAGCTGACCTTGAGGTCTATGCCCACCATGTCTTCATGCCTCCAGGCGAAGACGTCCAGGTTCTTGCCTAGAAAATC